TGGCTGTTTGCCCCCCCCCCCCCGATTTTTTTTTTTTTTTTTTTTTGCTTTTTCAGGTCGCACCCAGCGATGCACAGGGGTTACTCCTGGCTCTGCGCTCAGGAATTACCCCTGGCGGTGCTCAGGGGTCCATATGGGATGCTGGGAATCCAGCGCCCTACCTGCTGTGCTATTGCTCCAGCCCCCCCACCCCCAATTTTTTGTTTGTATTTTTGTACCTTTAAACAGTGTTTCTCTTTAACTTATATATTAATTTGTAAATAGAAAGAATGAACATTACTGATTGGCTTACCCTACCGAGGACTCTACCTGTTTATGGCAAGGTTGAATGTTAATTTCTTTTTTTTTTTTTATAATTTATTTATTTATTGAATCACTGTGGGAAAAGTTACAGAGCTTTCGGGTTTAGGTCTCAGTCATGTAGATACCAAACACATTTCCCTTTACCAATACTCATTTTTAACCCCGAACCCCAATAGACCCCTACCTCCCACCCCTCCCAATTCTTGTGAGGCAGATGAGTTCTAGTTAATACTCTATCTACTTTGACTAGATAGATTATTTCGATAGAAGATGCACAATTATTGTTTAGAGTTTACGACCCACCCCCCACAATCAGACATGCTGAAACAGCGTTGTGAAATGATTTGCTTTCTACAACTTCATTTAAGAATAAAATGATGTCTATCGCTATCGCGGCCACGCGGTTTTGAATTTCTGCTATTTTACTTATTGACCCTGGAAGAATTTCTATTAAAAGTTAGCTAGTTAAGAGATTGGTTTCTGTGCCCTGGAGTCGTGGCCGTGCCGGTGCCGCTCCCGCCAGCCCCGGCTCAAACCTGCTTTCCACAAGGCTCCCGTGCGGCCGCCATCTTTCTTTCCAGAGAGGAGCGGGCGGGCCGGTCAACGCCCTTTCCCCTCCGGGCTGGCTTGGTGGCGCGGTTTAACACAAGTCCATTTGCTTTTCTGCTCCAAGCGGCTGGTTCTCTGTGCTAAGTCCTTGTGCCTCCGGGGCCGTGGCCGTGCCGGAGAGCCGCTCGTGGGGGGCAGCTGGCGACCTCGGTGGGGCATGGGGGACGGCCCACAAAGCCCCCCTTCCCATGAGGTCCCTGCCGCTCCCGCCAGCCCCGGCTCAAACCTGCTTTCCACAAGGCTTCCATGCGGCCGCCATCTTTCTTTCCAGAGAGCTGTTAACTTAATTTCTAATCTTAAAATTCTTAAAGGCATTATTTTTAGAGAGTGAGACCAAAAAAAACACAAATGATCTCATTTTAAGAATGATATTAAAGTGTTCTGTGAACAGAACACAGTCTATTCTGTTCCTTCTCTCGTTTTCAGGTTTGTGTAAACACAAAACAACACTGAGTTAAGTGTTAATTGTCTCCATGTCCTCTGATCAAATTGCAGTTAAATTATGAAGCATCAAAATAAAATGTAACGAAGGTCTTTTAGCGCGTGGTCTCAAATAATGTATGTCTTGTTACACATTACTGCTTTCCAAATTATGAATAGATGTCCTTTAAATTCTTCATTAAATTAAGACCAGATTCACTGAAGAGCTGAATCTTCCCACTGGAAAGAGGTACAAGTATGAGTTCTTTTTTCTTTGAATATTAGAACCACTGTAAATGAAAAGGCTCCTTTACAATGTGGAACCACCTGCCTCTACCCCAGTTGGGGAAAGTGATTACATCGACATAACCCGTAATTTAAGAATATGGTCATTTTCCTGTCAGCAAGACGTTAACTGCACAACTTGCAAACTTACTTCTAGTTCTAAGATTTCGCAGAATTAAAGAAATAAAGATCTGGTCCAGTATCTTATTGCTGTTTTAAAATGAAGACTACTTTTCTTAAAATGTGAGAGACTAGTTGGCTGTTTCATTTTATTCTTAACATTGCCTACTCTTGATTTGTACGGTATCTATGTTTGTAGTTTCTTTTATCCCCACCAAAAAAATTTTTCTTTAAATGTAGCCATTGTAGAAATAATACTAATCCCAAAAATAAGCAAAAATTTATTCTTCTAAGTGGAAGAAATAAGAATCAAATTCAGATGAATTTGCCTGGTTATATTATGAAATCACACTGGGTTGGGATCAGTTTATTCTGACAGTTCACTTTGCATCCTCTTGATACTTTGCTATCATTTCACTTGTTCCCATACTTGGTAATGGTTAGACCCATAGCACAGCAGATAGGGCACTTGCCTTGCACATGGCTGTCCTGGGTTCAAGCTCCAGCCCTCCATGTGGCCCCCCAAATATCACCAGGAGTAATTCCTAAGTGCAGAGCCAAGAGTAACCCTTGAGCATCACCAGGTGTGGCCCCAAATAACAAAAAGTAAAATATATAGTACTAAAACTATTTTTAAAACATGCTTGGTAAACTAATACAATGAAAGAGGATCACAGTTGCCATCACTGAAGAAGAGAATGGATATTCCATCTCTTGTCCCCGATCCTCCATTTCTCACTTGATCTCATTTTGTTGCGGAGGCAGGGAATGCTTCACCTTCCAGAACTGTCACTGGAGCCAGTGGCTGTGTTCTGTTTTTCATCCTTTTGTATATCTTGAAAAATCTCTTGTGTTTTTTAAGATGTGACATAGTTGTCATTATTAAGCCTCCATGGCGGGTGGACTTGATGTGAATGCTTCATTTTTGCCTGTGGTGCTGGGAATATGGGGAGGGGCAGATCTCTAGCGCCCCCCACCCACCCCCCGGGTTGAATTTGCAGTGTGAAGACAGACAAGTCAGTGTGACTGGTGACACATATACATCATGGTAGGAAGCATGGCAAGGTGTGTGTGGTACAAGAGCTGGAGGGGAGGCAGAAGAGATCCCTCCAAATCCCCTCCAAAACTGACACTGTTATAAACACATCACATGGACCAAAACAGATTTAGACAAAACTGTGACTTAAAGGAAGAAAAGCAATGCTGCAATGTTCTGAGTAGAAAAGGTGCATGTCAGGTCCCTGAGAATAACCTCATTTGTGAGTGGATGGGGGGGGGGCGAGGAATGGAGGGCATGCACGCACTCACTTATGCTATAAAAATGACTAATGAGAGATAGTGCAGCAGGAAAAAGTCTTTGTCTAGGATGTTATCCATCGAAGTTCGGGGGAGGGGATTCCCCTGAGAGTCCCCTGAGTCCAGCAAGAAATGATCCCTGAGCACTGATGGGTGTGGCACAAAAATAAGCAAAAAAAAAAAAAAATGAGTAACAAAACCTGCCACTGAAAAGGTAATGATTTGATGTGATTCACTTCCATTGTCAGTACCCTCAAAGGAACCACCTCTGTGTCTCAGACCTTGGACTCCGAGCCGCATTGAGAGAATCACATGCAGGCCCAGTTGGAGTATGACACATCTCATTGCCTACCAAGGAATCGTCCATACATACATGTTGGCTCTCTTCCGTTCTCCCCGCACTTCAGCATGGGTGACTGTTGACTTTGCTGGCAGCTCCTTTCTTCCTTCTCTGCCCCCTGGAGAACTTGGTGTGGAGGAAGAGAGGGCACCATTGTCTCCGGATCAGGCTTTTCTCCACTCAGGCTCCCAGGAGTCTCTGGCACCTGGATCCGAGCCTGACTTGTTGAGCACAGGACCCTTCAAGGATATTCCTAGGACAGCCAGCAGCTGAAGAACCTAAGTCCTGCCTGCTCGGTGTTTCCTGTCTTCGTTGCTCGATGGCGCTCAGTGACAAAATGTCTTCATCCAGAAACCACATGTAGGGGCCAGAGTAATAGCAGAATAGGAGGACGCTAGCCTTGCACGCAGCCCACCCCACTTCAGTTCCCAGGATCCCATATCGTCCCCCAATCCCTTCCAGGAGTAAGCCCTAAGCACAGCCAGGTGTGGCCCCCAAACCAAAAAGAATAAATGAAACTACCTGTTGATTGATATTTAGTGTGTGTGTGGGGGGGGGGGATTAAATTCTTTTGGGATGTCACTGGCCTTCTCTTTGGTCTTTTCCAAAAAAGGGTGCTGGCTCTTCCAAAAAGCCAGTGGTGATGGCCTTGGTGGCTGGAATAGGATGTGGCCTTGGCCTGCTGCAGAACTTTGGGAGTTGATGGGGGCGGCGGAATTGGTCTTTTACCTCCAGCCCACAGTTGTAAGACTTGGCTTGTAGCACTGGTTTCACTTGCAGCTTCACAGGTTGCTCTTTTGGCAGTCATAGGGATGAGGGGTGGAGAGCATGTCCTGCACCTTTAGAACCTCTCTGCACCTTGGCTTTTCCTCTTGTCAGTAAAATTGAGTGTATTGGTGTTCAGAAGTTTCTAAATTCATGTAGGTTTCTGTCCCCTCTGGACATTTACCTTTGCTAAATGTTCCCCCAGTTGTACCCAAGGCCACTGCCACTAGATTGTTCCAGCACCCTGAGAGTGAGAAGGTGGTATCTTTTACTTTGGGAAACACTGCTACAGGTGATCTCAAGTTTCCTTTTAAGTTTCAACATTTTTTTTCTCAAGGCTGGGATTTAATCCAGGATCTCAGATAAGTGAAGCCTGCATTCTACAACTGAGCTACATACATCCTGGGCCCAAAATACATGCTTGCTTCTTTTTTTTTTTTTTGCTAGTTGCAGGGGCCATACACAGTGGATCTCTGTGGGAGGAGAAGGGGAGACAGTGTTCAAATCCAGGGCCTCAGATATGCTGGCTGCCACCTGAGCCATGTCCCAACACTTGAACACTTGGTGTCTTTATGTTAAATAAACCATGTACCATCTCTGATGTCTGACTTAGATTGTGTTTCTTTTAGAAATGATCACATGATGTGAGCTTGACCCAAAGGTGGAAACATAAGTGTTCTGCGAATTCAGTTGAATACGCTCATTCCAGTACAGGGACGGTCATCTCTCCGTGAGAATCCTGTTCAGTTGCTTGCTGTACCTTTCCACTTTTGTCGAAGGTTTCTGACTCCGTTGGAAGAGAACTATGCTCCAGAGCTCTCAGTTCTGTTGCTCTCTAACTTGGTCCTTCCTTCTTTTGCAGGAGCTATTGTGACAATCTCGGTTACCATCCATTAAGCGCTGCTGACTTTGGGAAGATCATGAAAAATGTCTTTCCAAACATGAAGGCACGTCGTCTGGGCACAAGAGGCAAATCTAAATATCCTTTACCAGAATGATTTCTTAATTCGTTCTGTGTTCTCGCTTACTACAAAACACTCTCTGCAAGGTAGCTGTTGTTGCCATCAAATAGAACTGTGTTTAAACTCAAGTGTACACAGGTCAAAAGTATTTGGTATAGTTATCACAAGTGATGTCTTCCTGAATATGTCTCAGACGAGAAGAGAAATCCCAAGTAGTCATTTCTCGGATCGTGGTAGAATTCATCTCACTCACTGTCGCGTTTCATGGTCTTATCTCCTTTTCTTTAAGTTATGGCAATTGTGTAGTACAGTGAGAGTAGAGAAAGATGCTCACGTATCTTTTTCCTCTAATTTAGACACAGGAGTGTCCTTGACAAAATACATAACAACATTCAGAACAGCTTCTTATGTGTAGAAATTGGAAGAGAAGATGAATATGTTTTCCAGACTGCCTTTTAAAGCCTGTGTTAGAAGGAAAGCTAGAGAGAGGGCAGGGGAGCAGGCTCAAAGGGTGGGGGTATGTGCCCTGTACCCAGGAGGTCTGGGCTCGATTCCAGGCACACAAAACCAAGAGCAGTCCCTGAGCCTCACAGGTGTCCCCCCAACCCCATAAAGGAAGAAAAAGAAAGCAGGGCATAGAAAAAACATTGAGCAATCAGAAGTAAAGAACTAAACTATTTTAATTTAGTCAACCTCTTTCCACTCTAAGACAATTAGAAAATAGGGTTGTGCATATTGTACTGCATATGTATTACTTCTCTCAGTTCTAGGCCAACGTCAGAGCTTAAAATTTCACTCTGGAGCCAGAGATGTGGCTCAACATTTGAAAACATATGTCAGGCCCTGGGGCATCTCCCTAATGACATAGGATGTCAGAGGATAAGCCTGGGTTACCTCTCAGATCATAGACACATCTGAGTCTTCGGTCGCTCACTTCAGGGTGCAGAGATGTAAGGAAGGAGATAGAGACTCACTCTGTCACCACTCCGGACTGTTTTCGAAAATGGCCCCACGGATTCTCTAGGCACTTGTTGTATAATCTACCCTTGTCTCCTAAGCACAGACAGAAGTGCCTTGCTGTGTCTTTGGCATGTTACAGGTGATAATCCCATGTGTTTCAGTGAAAAAAAGAGAAAGGAAAAAGTTAAAAGCCTTGTGACACTCCGAGGAGCTGTTTTGGTTCCAGGGCCCTGGGCTGAAATTTCCCTTGACCGTGCCAGGTTTCCATCTGATACTTCTTTCCTTCCAACCTGTTTGTGACTGACAACTGGCAGGCCTAGGAGGAATTATTTATTCATAAAATTTATAACAGATGAGAACCGTTTTTGCTTCATGTAAAACCGTAATATTCTGGTTTCCCAAGAGGAAGAGTCTCCTGTGTTCTAGTATTCTGGTTTCTCTCATTGGCTATGTTGTTGAAGATACTCTTCTTTCATATGTGTTTCCTCCTGTGCAAGTGGTGATGACGTGAGCAAGTTCATTTCACTTAGAGTACTTTAGACCTTAATGGCTTATTACATATTGCTACAGTGGACTACGGAAAAAAGCTTTTGTCCACATGCCAACGCTGCCCAATCTCGACTTTCACAAAACTGGAGATGGGGTAAGAATTTTCTTTTTAATAAGTAGAATTGGACCTTCATGTTAGTATGGAAATGCCTTCTACAGTAGTCTCTTTTGAATAAAGCCCAACAACTGGGAATTGTACCTTTCACAAAGTTGATGGACCCCAGAATACTCAACTGTGGCTGAACAGTGTCACCCATGTAGTTAGCTGCAGGTCTAGAGTTGAGGATGTACTGTGTTACTCATGATATATATCAACAGAGTGTGGATGTTACCAGGAGGAAGAATAAAGTTGTAGAATAGTGTCTATGGGACACATGTTTTGAAAAGAGAAATCTGGGTCGTGACAGTTTATTTGGGGGATGTTGTGTGGAAAAGGCTTTTAGGAAGATTCGGAAGATCTGTTGGTCTATGTGTTCCCCAGCCGTTAGAGTCACAGCATGCTGCTGCATGGATGGACTTAAGGCCTCTTAGTCAGCAAGGCCCACTTGTGGGTCACTCCATAGTGCTTTCACCAGCAGATTTCGACCGTGTCGTGTCTGTTGCGAAGAATGGGTCTCTCGCCTCCAGTGTAGTTTCTCTAATCGCTCTAAAGTTGGCTTTTTTCTATCGTTTAGCTGGAAGGAGCCGAACCTTCTGGACAGCAAAACATTGATGAGGAAGTCATCTCTTCGGCTTGCCACCTCGTGTGTGAGTGGGCCCAGAAGGTGCTGAGCCAGCCATTCGACACAGTCTTGGAGTTAGCCCGCTTCCTGGTGAAAAGTCACTATATAGGCACCAAGTCCATGGCGGCGCTGTCTGTGATGGCAGCGGCACCACCAGGTACGCAGCCTCTGTTAACGAGCAAGGGTTAACAGGGTGGCAGCATATTCAGAGTCAGGAGCTCGGGAGATTGGTCAAAGAATGTCCATGCCTTCTTAGTACTTTCTGTGAGATTCCTCTCCTCTCAGCACTACACTCAAGTGAGCTTCTCATACATCTTTTGATTCTAAAGTTTAAAGTTAATCATTTTGTTTTGGGTAAGTTCATTCCCTGAATACATGGATGCTACTTTCAAATGTAGAGGATACTTTGCACAAATACTTTTAAGCATGTTAATCTGTTGTAATCAGTGTGACAAAAAGAAGATTAAGGGCCAGAGAAAGAGCCCAAGGGGCCGAGTTTATGCTCAATATGCGTTGGGCCCACCTCTAATCCCCAGCACTGCATGGTCCCCCCCCAATACTGGTGGGAGGGATCCTCAGGGACCAGGCAAGAGTAACCCCAGAGCACTGTCTGCTGTGGTCAGAAAAAAAGCAAACAAAAAACAGCAAAAGATTACCTCTAAAGTGACTTGCAGTACTTAAACGAATGCTTATAGATTAAATGATCTATGAACATTGTTCCTGTGAAAAAGTGTATTACCATGAAAGCTGTTTTCCAACGATCATTCATGTGAAAAATACTAAAATCTGAGGCCAGAGAGCTAGTACAGCGGCAGGGTACTTGTACCTGACTCAGGATTCCCCTTTGACACCCTGTGTCATTCCCCCTCCCCATCAGGAGTGAACCCTGAGCACTACTGGCTATGGCTCACAATACCAAAAGAAAAGCCAAAACATTTTTTTAACCTGCAGTAGATTTATGTCAACTAAAATCATAGTCTCAGATTGCTTTTGTAATCTTCATTTTAATAATCCTTTTCTTACAGCACATATAACTGTTGGAAACAGCATGGGGGCAGGGGTGTATCTATGAGAGAGTTCAACAAAATAAATCTCTTGTAAGAACCTTGTCATGGTGGGGCCAGAGAGTTAGTACAGGAGTTAAAGCATTTGCCAGTCTGCTATCATCTAGGTTTGATCCCTGGCACTCTATACGGTCCTCTGAGCACAGAGCCAGGAGTATGAGCACAGGCCAATTTGACCCAAAGAATAAGGTAAAGGTAAAGGCCCTCCCGTTGATCATCGATTTGCTCGAGCGGGCCCAGTAACATCTCCATTGGAGACTTTGTTGTTACTGTGTCTGGCATATCGAATACTCTCGGTAGCTTGCCGGGCTCTCCGAGAGGGGCGGAGGAATCGAACTCGGGTTGGCCATGTTGGCTGCGTGCAAGGCAGACGCCCTACCCGCTGTGCTATCGCTCCAGCCCCAAAGAATCAAAAAATAAAAACCAAAAGCAAACCCTATCATAGATTTTTGTGTGTTATAAACTGTATAACCTGAATTGTGTCCTTATACTCTAGGAGCAGGAAAGGCCAGGGCAGCACTTCTTACCTTAGAATCTCGGTGCAGCCAGGGCAGCCCTACAGAACCAAGGATATTTCCGCCCATTTTCAAAGAGGTTAGGTGATTTTTTTTCATGGGCAGAAAAAAAAGTGATTTAAGGGTTTAAGTCCTGATTTCTATGTTTTTATAGCCCAGGTTAACTCCATTACACTTACTATTGTCTTACCTTCTGAAGAAAAAGGTACGTTTGTTTTTCCAATTTTTTTTTCTGGAGGTCTTTGGGAGATGGGGACGACCCACACACAGCTGTGCCCAGGATTTACTCCTGGCTCTGTGCCTGGCAGTGCTCAGGGGATCGTACGTAGTGCGGGGAAAGATACCTGGGTCCGCTACGTGCAAGGCAAGTGCCCTCTCCCCTATACTGTCTTTCCAGACCCTGCAGAATAAGGCATTAAAAGATAGGACCCTTCAACTTTCTCCTGCTGCTAGCACCTACAAGATGACTTAAATAAATAAGTCTTTTTTTTTTTTAATTTTTAAATGTTTTAAAATCTCAAAACCCTTGCCGTGTGTGTGTGTGTGTGTGTGTGTGTGTGTGTGTGTAATATCCTTGGTAGTGTTTTCATCTTCATCCCTTGAAGGTCAGTTTGGTTTTATAGCTATACAGTCTCCGTGATCAGAACAGTTTGTGTTACAAGTGTCCTTTCATAAGTCAGCTGTTTGGAATTTGTTTCCATCCAGAAACCCTGGCAGAAGAGGTAGAGAGCCAAGCTCTGAGCCAGGTGAGAGAAGTGTTAAGAGTGCTGTGACCCAAAATATATTTGAAAAGAAAGGAGCAGACCTCGGTGATAATGAGAGCTCTGGTCAGAAGATGAGGGCTGTTGAAAGCTGCATGTGTGGGAGAGTTTGCGGTCACTCCCCTCCTCTCCCTGAAGAGTTGCCGCTGGGAGTTACAGAAACCTGACTGGGCCGGGAGAGGGAGGGACGCTTGAGCACCAGGACACTGTCCCCTGTTCGTCCTCCCTTCACTGTTCATACCATCCCCTAGGTGTGAAGTGAGCTTTTAAGAAACCTGTTGCACTGCATCAGTAGTTTTCCTTAAATTAAGATTTGTCATTTTCTTTCCTTGACGTTGCTGTTCTTACTGCTCTTAAAAGTTTTCTTAGGAGCCGAGCAATTTTACAGGGATTAAGGTGCTTGGCTTTTGTGAGACTGACCCCAGTTTGAGTCTTGGCACTGCATTGGGTCCCCACGTGCTGCCAGGAGTAAGCCACTAAGCACCAGTGGGTGAGGTCCACTGCCCCTGCCGCCTCCTCCCCCCAAAATTTACTCAGCGATGTTTTTATACTGCAGTGACCTAAAAAAAGGTTGCAGTCTGAAACCTCAAGAAAATGCTTAATTTCTCCAAAAATCACAGTAGAATAACTATTTAGTAGCAGTTAAATTTTTTATGCGTTTGTGGTAAAATTAAAGACTGGTTTTCCTCGTACAGAATTTTTCTAAGATATAGATGACTTCACATATTGCGTACCACTGACGGCTCTAATATTAATATGAAAATGCACAAGTTTCCTTACTAGAAAGAGGAGAAAGACATTAACTGAGACTGGCTGATAAAAAGTGTTGTTGACAGTTGCCTTGCCTTTTCTGCATTTGTGATACTGCTACTCTTCAAAATCTTCATCCATACTTACTTACGTAGCTAAAACTATTTCCCTGAGTTGAATCACATCTGCTGGTTTGGGTCTCTTTGTCCAGTAAATGGCAACATATTCAAGGAAACTGAGTCGTATCTGCCTTCTCGATGGAAGTATTTATTTTAACTTTGCTTTCTGTTTATTTTCAGGAATTAAAGGAATTGCCCAGCCCTCTGCCTTTGTACCTACAGCTGAAAGTAATTCCTTTCAGCCTCAAGTGAAGACTTTGCCATCTCCTATTGATGCTAAACAGCAGTTGCAACGCAAAATCCAGAAGAAACAGCAAGAACAGAAACTGCAGTCCCCTCTGCCAGGAGAGTCCTCAACAAAAAAATCAGAAGGCGCCACCACCAATGGAGTGACGAGTCTTCCAAATGGGAACCCTGCGATCCTTTCTCCTCAGCCCATTGGCATAGTAGTGGCAGCTGTTCCTAGTCCCATTCCGGTAATGTCTTTTGAGAGTGTTTGGCCTTTCTGGGATGGTGGTAGAAGGAGACAGAAGTGTCAGGCACTAGAGTCTGTGATCACAGACCAAGCTCAGCTTCAGTCCATTGACGACAGGACACAGATTATTGATCACAAAGTGAACTAAATATGTACATAAAAATACAAAGCTCTAACACGTTTAAAGAATGCCTGTAACCAGTCAGAGCTTTATGTAAGAGATGAATTATTTTACCATTTTTCATCTGTAGCTTATCCAAGGTGCCACAATTACAAACATTAAAAAAAATAAACTAATATTTACTTGTAACTGATCATATACCATATATCATATACCATATATCATATTGTTTATGGTATATGATCAGTTACTTTTGGAAGAGCCTGGCAAGCTTCCCATGGTGTATTCGATGTGCCAAAAACAGTAACAATAACGGGTCTCATTCTCCTGACCCTGAAAGAGCCTCCAATACGGCACTGTATTGGAGGCTAAAATCTCAGGGCTAGGATGAATGGAGACGTTACTGGCACCTGTTCGAGCAAATCGATGAACAACAGGATGACAGCAATACAGTGATACAGAACATTTAGTTGAGGCAGATAATGATGTGTACGGATAGCATTTTCATGACAGCCTTTCTTTATGACTTGCTGTGTGAAATCCAGTGTGTTAGCACCTCAGTTTGTTTCCTTATCAACAAACGGAGGTGACCTGCGCTTCTCCTGTCTCAACTGAGGCGCCGTGAAAGGGCTCTCGAATTGAGAGTGCATCACTCTAACGCAAGTGTTCAATGCTACTATTGATGACATAATGATAGAAACACTTGATCTTGGTTTTTCTTTCTCTGTGACATTTTGTGGCAACATCCTGACATTAAAATATGGAATAATTGGTAAGCACACTCTTGCATCGTTTGCTGTAGAACAAACAAACTTAGGGAGTCGGTGTTTTTCTCAGAACCCTTATTCATGGAGACTTAGCACTGTCCTCCAGGTTAGATCCAGTTACAAGAAGGCTTTCCTGTGGGTGAGTTACCTTCCTGGTACAGGGTTCCAGAGACAGTTCTAGTTCCTATTCCTTTGAGATTATGTCTCCCCTTCATACAAATCCTTAAAAAGTTTCACCCTGGCATGTAGTTATCACCAGTGTGACAGTCCTAATTTTACTGGTTGAAAAGAATGTCAATGTTCTTCTTCCATTATATACTGCATTTTATAACTCACCTTACACCATGGTGCATTTACTATATTCATGTGCCTTGTTGTGCAGACCCTTGTCTTGAAAAGCCCTTAATATAGGAAATTCCTTTGTTTCTTTTCCTTTGAGCATGACATTTATTAACTCCCCTGTGTGATGCCACACCAGTACGGGAGTTCCTCCTAGAAGCGTGAGTCATTCTTTCTCTCCGAGACTTGCATCACGGTTTTCTCTTGTGCTTGTTTCTCACCCAACAGGTCCAGCGGACCAGGCAGTTGGTAACTTCCCCGAGTCCGATGAGTTCTTCTGATGGCAAAGTTCTTCCCCTCAATGTTCAGGTGGTCACTCAGCACATGCAGTCTGTGAAACAGGCACCAAAGACTCCTCAGAATGTCCCAGCCAGTCCCGGCGGGGACCGCTCTGCCCGGCACCGGTACCCTCAGATCCTGCCGAAGCCAGCCAACTCCAGTGCTCTCACCATCCGCTCTCCAACAACTGTCCTCTTCACGAGCAGCCCCATCAAAACTGCTGTCGTGCCCACTTCCCACATGAGCTCTCTGAACGTGGTGAAGATGACAGCCATCTCCCTGACAGCCAGCAACAGCAGCAGCGCCCCTGTTAAACAGTCTGCCTCAGCAAACAGTGCTCCGGGAGCCACGGAAGAGTCGAGAACCTTCCCACAGATCAAAAACGGCTCCGTTGTCTCACTTCAGTCTCCTGGATCCAAGGGCAGCAGCGGCGGGTGTTCGTCCGCAGTGGAGGTCAAGATGGAACCTGAGATCTCCTCGGACGAACAGCAGGTGGCACAGTGCCAAGACAGTTCGGAGGGGAATAAAACTCCCAAAGCAACACCGAGTGCCCTTCTGGGGCAGAAAAGCACGTCAGATGGAGCCGTGCAGAAACCTTCCAGCGAAGGTGCCGTGGAAGTCAAAGCGTCGAAGGTCTGTGGCCAGAGGACCAAATGTAAGAGCCGCTGTGGAGAAACCCAGCCCGCGCCAGCAGGCAGCGATCAAAGCCCGAGCGCCCTCACCACGGCCGCCCCCAACTTAACTCTCACCAGCACCAACTCACCGCCTAGTGCTGACTCAGCAAACAAAGACCCCAAAGTGTGCACTAAAAGCCCACGGAAACGACTGTCTTCTGCTTTGCAAGAGTCCCAGGTGCCTCCTGTCAAGAAACCAATTGTGGAGCAAGTTTCCGCAGCTGTCGAAGACCAGAAACCAGGCAGTGTTAAGAAGGACCACGCGGTCCCACATTCAGGGACGACAGAGAGTGTCGCGGCAGGCGCTGCCCTCCCGGGCGCCCTGTCCATAGACGTCAGCTCACACCTCGTGGCAAATCCACCCTTGAGTTCTTCTGCTCTTCTCCCCACAGACTTGGCTTCGGAAGCGCCCGCCACACCGTCGTCCTCTCCCGATATCAAAGTCAAGCTTGAAGGCAGCGTCTTTCTCTTGGACAGTGACTCGAAATCCGATGGCAGCTTCAACCCAGGCGAATGGCAGCAGGTCACAAAGGACCCGGAGTTCCTGTCTGCCGGCTGTGAGGAGGCCCAGGCCGTCAGCGTGGGGGTGATGCCTGAGCACCCTGACATCAGCGAGTTAGAGAAGTCGGTTTGGGAGCTCGAAGGGCTGCCCCAGGACCCATATCCCCAGCAGCTGCACGGCCAGATCCAAGAGTCGCCCCTGAGTCAGACCCCGGCCCAGTCCTCAGACCAGTTACCTCTCCAGTCAGAGCTGAAGGAGTTTGAGCCTTCGGTCTCGCAGACCCACGACAGCTACTTTCCTTTCGACGACGAGCTCACACAGGACAGCATCGTGGAGGAGCTGGTGCTCATGGAGCAGCAGATGGCGATGAACAACCCTCACGCGTATGGCAGCTGCCTGGGAATGGCCCTCCAGAGTCCGTCGGTCACGCCAGGAGCCCCGGCCTCCTCACACACCTCCAGCTCCCACTTCTACCATCCGATCCACAGCAATGGCACCCCGATCCACACCCCCACGCCCACCCCCACCCCCACGCCCACGCCCACCCCAACGCCCACCCCCACCTCGGAAATGATCGCCGGCTCTCAGGGTCTGTCCCGGGAGAGCCCTTGCTCGAGGCTGGCCCAAACCACCCCCGTGGATAGTGCTCTAGGAAGCAGCCGGCACACACCGATTGGGACTCCACACTCAAACTGCAGTAGCAGCGTCCCTCCCAGCCCTGTGGAATGCAGGAATCCGTTTGCCTTCACCCCGATAAGCTCCAGCATGGCGTACCATGATGCCAGTATCGTCTCCAGTAGCCCTGTGAAACCAATGCAGAGACCCATGGCCACGCACCCTGACAAAACCAAGCTTGAGTGGATGAACAATGGGTATAGTGGGGTGGGCAGTTCGTCGGTCTCTGGCCATGGCATCCTCCCAAGCTATCAGGACTTGGTAGAAGACCGTTTTAGGAAACCTCACGCTTTCGCTGTGCCGGGACAGTCCTACCAAGCTCAAGCCAGGCACCTCGACACTCACTTTGGCCGTGTAACTCCTGTCTCTCCCGTGCAGCATCAGGGCACTGCCGTAAATAACACCAACAAACAGGAAGGTTTTGCCGTCCCTGCCCCACTGGATAATAAAGGAACAAATTCATCCACCGGTGGCAGTTTCAGATGCCGGAGTGTGAGCCCTGCCGTCCATCGCCAGCGGAACCTGAGTGGAAGCACCCTCTACCCAGTATCCAACATCCCCCGGTCCAACGTGACCCCCTTTGGAAGTCCAGTCACCCCAGAAGTTCCTGTGTTCACAAATGTTCACGCAGATGCATGTGCCAACAACCTAGCCCAGAGAAGCCAGTCGGTTCCCTTGACAGTCATGATGCAGACAGCCTTCCCCAATGCGCTTCAGAAGCAAACAAATACTAAAAAAATCACCAATGTTTTGTTGAGCAAACTGGACTCTGATAATGATGATGCAGTAAGAGGTTTGGGCATGAACAACCTACCCTCCAATTACACAGCCCGGATGAATCTCACTCAGATCTTGGAAACCTCCCCAGTTTTCCCTAGTGCCAACTCACAGAATATGATCGATTCCAGCACTTCGGTTTATGAATTCCAAACACCATCTTACCTCACCAAAACCAGTAGCACGGATCAGATCAGCTTTTCTCCTGAAGATAATCAAGCACAATCCGAAATTGGAGAGCAACAGTTAGACTTCAGTAGCACTGTTAAAGACTTACTGAGTGGAGACAGCTTGCAGACCAGCCAGCCGTTGGTAGCTCAGGTCACCTCTGATCTCACGAGTGCTGCGTCTGACTTCTCTAGTGATCTCAGATTGTCGTCTGAGCTCTCAGGCAGCATCAACGATTTGAACACTTTAGACCCAAATCTACTGTTCGATCCGGGTCGTCAGCAGGGACAAGATGATGAAGCTACACTGGAAGAATTAAAGAATGACCCATTGTTTCAACAAATCTGCAGCGAATCCATGAGCTCTATGACTCCATCAGGTTTTGAGTGGATAGAAAGCAAGGACCATCCTGCTGTTGAAATGTTGGGTTGAATTGTGTTTTATAATACGTAGCACACTGTATCTAAAGACATATGTATTGTATTTGTCTTAATGGAAGTGCCTCCCGCAGCAGAAACACTATTAATTGTGACATTTTAAAAGAGTTTGCTGCAGAAGTGGTTTCTTCAAGTAGGAAATGGTTAGGCTTGCCTCAGTTCTTTCTTGATAATTTCCAGAGACAGTAGGCGATAGAAGAACAAGTATTAGGTTTTAAATTCTACAGCATTTCCCCCATTTAATCACATTGTTAGCGAACGATTGACTAACCGGCTTTTACAAGAGCAGTCTAGATCTTTATTTTGTGTAAATTTATTTTAGTCACTGGTTGATCTGCACAGAATTTAGAGAAAACCATTGATTTTTTCTGTTGTTGTTGGCATTATCTTTTAGATATGAAATCATAGCTAAGGTGAACTGTAGACAAGAAGGTCTTCCTTGGAACAGGGATAATATTCAGGTTATTTTAAGTATTTAGGCTTGAAGCATAGAGCTACTGTAGAATGAAAAATCTCTGTAGGACTTTCTGGGACTTCAGTACCATTTGCAACTACAATGAAGGGCTTAAATAGGAGAAAATAATGGAAAATTTAATATTAATTTAAGGAAAGCAGAAGCAGCACTAAAACTTTTAAAAGGAAAAACTAGTAGCTATTTGTATTTGTGACATTGCATTACTTCTTATTTCAGAGTGTTGGTTTTTAATATGGCGTGCGCACGCACACACACACATACCCCAAATAACTACAGACAGTATAATTTAATAGAATAAACACAAGCGTGCTAGGAAAATGTTTTCTGTTTATGTGATTGAGATTGGGGAATTAGAAAGGAAAATAAAAACATTTTCTTTCACAATGGCTGCATGCACATATACTAAAATCTATGATTTTATTTTGAGGAATCTTTAGTTGCAGAATTGTTAAGCCTTCAGTTGAATAATTTCTTCATTCCTCCTGAATTCAATTTCAATAAATACATCTTGTTTAAAGGATCCATTTGAAAATAAACAGGAGGGAGATAGCATTAAAAAACTGAACAAAAACATTATACCACCTAAGGTCTGAAGCCACAAATCTTTATATCTCTGATAAAACAAAGGGGATATCAATAATACTTGAAGAAGAGGAGCATTTTATTACATGCTTAATTTATTGTGATAGCCACAATTGCAAAAGAAGCACTCAGGATTTGTTTTAAAATGTTTCTCTCTATGGCTCTCATTTTGTTTTATGAATAGTTATTTATGAATTTCATGTTAACAAAAATCAGCTCACTAGTTGACAGTTCCACTTAGTGAGTTTCAAGATCGTTTTCAAAGAGATTTAAATATTGCCATTACGTCTTTAAAGCTAACGTTAAACCATTGCTGTGCTACCTTGAATCTAGCTAAGCTTTCCTATACCTTAATTAGGAAGCCAATCAGAAAACTACAATCAATGAATATTTAACAAGCATGATGAAGGGTTTAATTTAATAAGATTTCATCGTTCACTAAATTTGCAAGGTAGGGTATTAACATTTTGATAAATAAATGGTGCTAGGGTTGGCTCAGAGATTTATATATTAATAATGTCATAGTTATTGGCATTTGTGTATGTTTGCTGTTATCTTGATTTGATGATCTGTTAGATTTTTTTTTCTTGATGCTAGTTATTTCTTCACTGTACATTGAGACAGCACTACTGCACACCAAAGTATGCAATACCCAAAGGAAACTGTGTGATTTCTTCTTGTAACAAATTATGGGAGCCTTTCTCTATGAGATACTCTGAAAAGGAGATTTTTGAGGCCATTCTAATCCCTTGTTTACATTATTAGCTTCCTACAAATATAAAAATAATGGAATCTTTTTTGATAAAAATATGAAGACTGGAGGATTTTTAACCCCATGTACAGTATTGCAGCAAACACTTTAAATTTGGTTGAATTCGTCCAACAAACTTTCTGGGGTTCATATATTGCACTAAATTTGTTGAACCTGTGGTAGGCACATCTCTTAGGATAAATGCAACCAATTCAGTCCACAGATTAAAGTTTTTAAATGTGTTTCATTATGAAAAGACAAAATGTCATCCAAGTGACAGATAAAATTGTCTTATGTAGCAATGTGCATTGATCTCAATGAGATATTTCTATTTCTTATTCTCTTACATGAGAATATTACAGCAGGAAGAATTAAGTTTAGTTTGCTTCACCATGTTAATACATGATCACAAAATGTGCATGAGTGTTATTGACTTATCCTGTACAGTACAAGGTATTCCTGTAACCACTCTTTTTTTCTTGGCTGTATTGAAACTGGTTCAGTGATAACCAGGCAAGCATAGTTATTCACAAGTTATTCACTTTTTTATGTTTACTAATTCTGCTTAGTTATTGTTGAATATGTTCTTTTATTGGATTACTTTCATTGTTTTGATGTTTGAAACATTTTACATAATGTTTATCATGATAAGACTTCATGAAGTAAATAATTTTGCATATATTTGCAATAAGCACTGACTTTTGAACTGAAAAGAAGGAAAGTGGTTTTTTTTTTGTGCAGTGCATCTGAGGTTCATATAATAGTCTTGTACTATAATGTGCTTTACTACACCATAAATGACAAAAACAAGCCCTGTTTCATGTTTTCATTTAGTGCAAAAAAAAAAGAAGATCGATTTCCCCAGTGTTTTGTTGTCTGTTGTACCTGCTGAAACTACAGTAGTTGAATATTGCAGTAGCATTTCAGTTCTCTTTTTTTATTGAAAGTGCTCAAAAATTGTTTTTTAAATGTTTTCAGAAACAATTAAAAGCATTTTATATTAAACTGACTGAATCTTCAGGTGATTTCTGGGTTCTATTTACACAGGCAAGCGTGCCATTTTACAGGCATACCTGATGCCCTGCTTCTGTCGATTTTGTGAAAATTTAGAGAAATGGATACACATCAGCACAGCACAGAATAGAGCTGCTGATCTGCTTGCTGCCATGAATCTAGAGGATACGCAGATCTTTTTGTCAGACTCTGCTGTTGGGACAAGGCCATCGACCTTTATGTTGTCCAAGCAAAAGAGATCTTCTGCTTCTTTATAGTACTTGCCGTGAGATATTAGCCTATCAAGTACCCAAATACATGTATTCAGGCAGCTAGAGTAGAAAAAAATAATACAGAACTCAGAATTTGAAAGTAGTCTGTGTCTCCAGAAGCAGAATAGGTATTTCCATGCATCAGAAATGCCAGGTCGGGGCCTGAGAGAGTACAGCAAGTAAGACACCTTGGTACTGCCAGCTGTGATCCCTGAGCAATGCTCGGTGTGGCCCCCAGACAAAAGAAATGCAGAGTAGTAAGTACCCTGGTCCTTGGGCCCAGAGTCGGTCCTTTAAGCCTTAGAAGTAGCCAGAAATTTCAGCTCCTAAAGAGTAATGAAAACCGGTGTTTGAAAAATAAGAAACTGGTGTTTGAAATGGAGTTTCACTGTTGAAACAAAACAAGATTAAACAAACAGCCGGTGCCTGGGACTGAACATATCTCTCATAGCCAGGTTTGGAGCCAAACAGCCAACTCATTCCCATTATCTCTACAGAACTGCTTTTGGATGGCGGTACTTGCAAGTTTGAAAGAAAAGAAGAAAGCCTGGAAAGGGAGAGGTGAAATTTTAAAAATACACATGCGCGAGATGTGCCTGCAAACCAAAACTCTGTAAGAAGAAAAGAAAACGAACTCTAAGCAAACAAAAGTAATGAATGATTGGGAATCTCAGTGAAGAAGGAAGCAAAAGGGGGATGGGCGGATTTATTTTGGTTTTGGGGCCACCCAAACTCTGCGATAGTCAGGACTTTCCCCTGGATCTGCGCTCTGAAATCACACTTCACAGTGTTCACGGGACCATATGAGGTGGCAGAGATTGAACTCAGGTGGGCCAGGTGCAAGGCAGATGCTATACTGTGCTCTTCTGTACTATGGCTCTAGCCCAAGAGAAAAACCATTGATGGCCAAGAGCCAGCCAACAGTTAGCAGGATGAAATGAAGCCAGTAACAAATGGGGCTGAACTTAACTGTGTCCATTTTGGCTGCAAGTTAGGAAACACAGTACTGGCTTAAACTGTGAGCACAAATTTTATTTGGGAAATCCCCAGCCACATTCAACACAGTGTGTACCTCACGGTTCAGACATTGGGGTGTGCTGCTATTTCAGCTCAGCAGTGTTGGGGCCCCAAGGACAATTGTTGGTTTAAGGATTTCAGAGGAAAAACAAATTTGAGGAACCGGAGAGATGCTTATGACACTTCCCTTGTGGTTGACCCGAGTTGATCCCTGGTATTATTGTAGTCTCAATAATCCCTGAGCACAGAACCAGAAGTAAGACTTGAGCATAGCTGGGTATGGCCCCCAAAACAGTATTTGGGGACAGGAGATTCAGGGGTTCATTTAATTCCGTGTTCTCAATCTGATTGTTTCTGTTCCATCTTCATCTTTGCTTTTGTGTCTCTTGTCCTCTGGTCACGGAACAGCTGCTGCTTAAAACAACCCACTTCACCCTGTGCAGTCTTTTGAGGGAATTTTTTGGATAAAAAGGAGGACTGATGCCAAGTTTACTTAGATTCTTGTTATGTTCTTGATAGCTAGGAAAAGGGCCCTCTCCTAAAGTATGTGGTCATCTGCCTAAAATGAGTTTAACAACTTTGGGAGATCATGGGGACTTGTGGTCTCATGCCTATTTTTGAGGGGCTCACAGTCCCTCAATCAGAGGGCTGATTGTTCTTAGAAATGTGCTAATTGGAGGTGTATATATAACCGTTCTTTTTTTGTGGGAGGGATGGTGAGAATTTACACTCAAGGAACTGAGAATAGGGCAGGTGTTGGCTCTCAGGAATACATTTAGAGGCTGTCTATTTGCTGGTATAACCTGTTCACTGGTGTCATGTCTTCTCAAGCTTGAAAAAATGATCCTGGTTGTGCATCCAAAAATATTGATTTAGCTTTTTTGCAATTTGTTCCAGTACCTGTTGCTATCGGAGAATCACTTGTATCACTTTGCAGTCCAGTTGGTCATTGATTTGCTTGAGTGGGCGCCAGTAATGTCTCAATTCATTTCTGTCGCGTGCTAGCGTAGCCCAGTGGAATATTGGCTCTTTCAGGGTCGGGGGAATGAGACCCGTTATTGTTAACCGTTTTTGGCATATCAAATACATCACGGGTAGCTTGCCAGGCTCTGCCATGCGGGCAGGCTACTCTCGGTGGCTTGCCAGACTCTCTGAGAGGGAGAAACTGCATCGCTCTCTTCCAGGAGATTGGCTGTTGATGAAATTGCATGGCACTGGGGGCAGTTTGTGGGTGTGACTGTCAAGCTACTAGAAAACAGGGGATCTGGGTGGAGGAGGCCCAGTCCCAATCTGAGCAGGCTTGGAGATCTCAGCCATGAGTCCCGCATACCTGGGTTCTTCTTTTGGTTCCCTTATGGGTGAGGCTCATCCGAGTGTGTGGAGAGTGGCCTTGAGCATGGCTGTGGTTGGGTTCTGGAGGTTTTCAGCTGCCGGGGTTCTTCTTGGGACGGGGAGGGAAACTCAACCCACCCGCTCCGAGGGGCTCCGGTGAAGACAGCCTGGCACGGGGTCAGGAGGTTCTGCCTATTAGAGAATAACACATTTTTTATGTTGTTAAGTCTGTGGAGATTGATAGGTGATACTCTTGGTGAATTTTGAGATAATTAGGATTAAACATTTGTGGGTGATCAGTTTCGGTAATCAGATCTGCCCTTTTTTGATGGTGGTTCAGAGGTGACCAGGGGTTACACGCTTGATGTGCTTGCTAGGGGTGGAGGTGGGGGATCATGAACAACAGTGCTGGGGATTCAAGATCAGATTTGGTCTTTTTGCAGGGCAGGTGCTCTGACGTTGGCTCTCCATGGGTCCCTGTAATCTGAAGTATTAAAAATAGGTGTTTATGACCAGTCTTCTAAGGATGAGTAGGGAAAAGCAAAAAAAAAAAAAAAAGACTATAATGACCAAAATCGATTTTATTCTAATTATAATTAGAAGTAGTAGTAATTTAATACTAAATTCTGAAAAGGGTGAAATGTATCAAAAAAAAGTAGTATTACTGTTACAGAAGATATTCTTTCACTACACCTGTAACAAATACTTTGCACATCTTGTTTCCTTCTTCTTACAATCCTGAAAGAACACTTTTCCTTGTGGAGAGACAAACTGGTAAGAGTAACTGGCAAAAATCAAAGATTAACTGGTACGGGTAACAACTTGAAACAGGATGAGCTGAGGTTATGGGGTTCAGACTTCGTTCATAGTCATTATGCCATATATGTAAGATACTGGTTCAAATGATCTACTATAGTTGCTTGATGTGGTAGCTACACTGGAATTTTCATTCTGATTTAAAATGCCTGATCAAATTTTATTTTTGTGGGCTCTTTATTTCTCTCTCTCTAATGCTGGGTATTGAACCCAAGGCCTCACACAAGCAAGGCAAGTGCTTTTCTGCTGAGCTATATCCGTGGCCAGATCTTATTTCGGTTTCTCATGCTTTCTTGTCATCATTATTGCTTTAAGGTTACACATGTATTTCCTCTAAACTACTTGAATTTTTCTTATCTCTCCACATGGTAACAGTGCATGCCCCAATGTGTTGGAAGCCCAGAGAAAAATGAGATTAAGATATCGAATGTTTTACACAAAGCATTTGAGCACATTTCTTAAGAGGTACACAGAACCATATTTGTGAGCCACACTGACAAAGTTTTACCTGCCATTTGGATTTCTACGACAGTGGCAAGGCCAGGATTGCAAGGTGCAGTGGGGTCACCAAGCAGAGACTTTTTTTTCACTGGTACAGTTCTAACCTGGCAAACTCCCCGTGGCATATTCGATATGCCAAAAACAGTGACAACAAGTCTCACAATGGAGACATTACTGGTGCCCGCTCAAGCAAATCGATGAACAACAGGAGGACAGTGCTACAGTGCTACCATTCTTATCATCAGAAAGTACATTCTGTAAGAGAACCATCTGTGGCTAAGTGGAACCACCTACCAAAGTCATAAGAAGGCTGGAGAGGGCAGATTTCTCTGTAATACTTTTCATAATGCAAACATGATGGTGGCGATCACTCTTCCGGCCCTTAGGTGAAGCCACTTGCTCTGCTCTGGTGACTGTGAGGTAAGCCATCCTGCTAGTCCGAACCGCTTGCCTCTGGTTATTTTCCATGAGAGTCTTTCTGGTATGTCACTTCTTTGGGTTTCTAGTCACAGTTCAAATTCATAGTCTAAACATAGCTGTCGGTTTTAAGCAGAAATGGGGGTTAGACTAGCATAAGGCTCACTAGACCGTGGTGGGTTCCCACAAGAGCTCCTCACTGCATCTTACTCTCCCTTGAAATTGGGAAAGCAGAAGCTCTTAATAAATGCCCGATTTCAGCAGGGCGTTTGATTACTGTTTCACAGAAAGAACAGAAGAAATTTAGGTGGGTTCGTATTGCTTCAGCAGCTAAAGATAATAGATCAAATTGAAAGGCGATCATAGCGTTCTTGTGATTGGTGTCAAGCCAGGCTTCAAGTATTAGTTCTGCTAATTTTAACTGTGACCTGGAACAAGTGATTTCATTATTAGTAATGATAACCATCTGGTATTTTCTAGTCCTGTTTCTCTGGGTCCTGGCCTGTTGGCTGTTTTGTGAAGACATCTTGTGTGAAGACACTGTCTGCTTGAAAACAGTAGTCACCACTTCCAAACAGATTGTCGATATTTTCAGAATCAAGATGAAGACTAGCCCAGATGCACACAGAAATACCTCGGATCGTCTGTTTCCCCCATCCCG